AGACATGCCTTCCGTGCAGTGTTTGGTTTGATTTCAAACTGACTGCCAAGTTGAGACGATTGATCCGGGATCGACGCATCAAACCCGGATCTAAATTATGCTAAAGGCACTTCTTCCTGTTTTTATCGTCACGAGCAAAGAAAACACTAAGGAGCTCATACATGTTCCTTGTACAGCATACTTAAAACAAGACCATGAATATAAGATTTCAGGCGTTGCATGGTGGAGTGTCGGTATCGTTTCGGTTTGCGGTAACACGATGTGGTAAGAACTACTGCTCAGTAGATATTATTTCGCTCACTGCGAACTGACACACGAGCGAGCAGGGCATCCACTCTTACACAGTGCCCAACAGACAACCAATCAGAATCTACCAACACAAGTACATGAACTCCCAATCCTAGCACAGCCTACTTAAGGAGCAACATCACATGTTGCAGATTGTAAGATTATTTTCTAATGCAAATAATCATGACGTAGTTTACTTATTTGATGATATCTTTAAAGCCGAATTTTATTGTCGAAGATTTTAGAGTACAGAAAGTTAAGAAAATTAATGTATTTGCTGTCTTTCGATTATCAGTTGTCGACACTCTTGTACGAAGCAAAGGCAACATTTCACGAGGTTACAATTTGCTGCAGCTTACTTTAATTTCAAATTGTACAAAATTCTTTAACTGTGTGCAGTGCGGGTCTCTCAATCAAAATAACGATAACTTGGTTGTTTGGACTCGGGCCATACTCAATAGAGCTGCTAAACGTAGCTGAGAACAGAGAACAAGTGCGAGTGCGCAATGCAGCCGCCTTGCATGAAAGTCTTGCATGAAATGATTGACTAATTGCGCGCGGTAGAATCGCGTTAGCATTGCGTCAACGCAGCTTGTGAAATATTGTCAATTACATTAAATATTGAAGGGACGCAGAACGCGCAAAATCTGAGACAAACAAAACTTAGCGTACCCAAATTCCATAGGGTTGTCTAAGGGGCGTGGCTTACTCGCTCGCCCCTAGTTTATAAATAGCGATAAAACGGTGTTCAGTTCGTTATATATTAACGTAAAAAACCCCAAAATAAATCGATATCAGCAGAACTTGTTTTATGACAAATTCATTCTCTAGCTCTTTAACCCTTTCAGTAGGAACGATTTGAAGTATTGTTTTTGTTCCTCGCGCAGTCTTGCCAAATCTTCAGAGATGGCCTGTGTATCCTGTTAATCAGGAAATATATTTATTTCTATATCCTTCAAACAGTCATAAAAATTACAGTGCCAGTTGGACCGTACAACCAGGAAACTGGGGGCATTTGAATGTGTTCCATGTCAATTAGGCCTACTTTCACCATCAGATAGTTACAACAACATTGTTAAATTTAACCAAACGTAGCATGCACGGGTCGTGACATCGACAATGTATATAAAAGCTGTACTTAAATTTGCCTCCTCATTTTCCATCTCGCAAAGAGCAACGTTGGTACATGTTTTCAGTGAAAAAGACACAAGGAAAATTAGTCTGTGATAGATTGGTGAATAAATAAGTACATCAGCAACTTGTCATGGACGCCATGTTCAACATGAGATCAGGGAGTTCTTTCTCTTCGTCGTTTGCCATCCTCGCTTTCTTTGCCTTCGGATGCAAGTTCCGAGTGGCTGCTTTAGGTAAGTGATAATATAATCAACTGAACTGTTAAAGGCTGGTTAACTTTAGGTAAAATGTGAGGCGTTCAGGCAAATTGAGACAGAGCTGGGCAGAGGTCGAAGTAAACGTTTGCGGGTATAAGTAAGGAAGAAGAAATAATATCCTTGCGATACCGTTTGTTGCACTTCAATTGGACATTCCGTTGACAAGTTATGACTGTTTAAAGTTCGAATTTATCGACATGTCAAAAAAGTAAACTATTTAGAAAAAGACCTTTAAAGTTCGAGTTTGGTAGTCGTGCATGGAAATGAAAGATGTCAATTGTTTTTCCTTCGAAACGCATTTATTCCAAGATGTTCAGGTGTAGTACACAATCATATCAAAGAAAAAAAATCACCCCATTCGGTGTTCCCCCCATTTTGTCTCCACTATGGCCTGTGCCCATTCCTGTCTCACTTTGGCTTAATGTCTCACAAATATCATTTGGGGAAAATTTTTTTAACCAACCGTTGGGCTGTTCACCTGTTAAGCAACAGTTAGTTAAAAGTAGTCCTTTTACTGGTTAAATGTACCCGATTTTAACCATCGTTGGGTGAATTGACTACTTTTAACCAACTGTTACTTAACAGGTGAACAGCTCAACGGTTGATTAAAAAAAAATTAACCAACGTTGGGCGAAATGTGCCCAACGTTGGGCCAACGTTGGGCAAAATTGGACAATTTTACACGACGTTGGTTAAAATTTTAACCAACATTTAAATCAACAAAATTTTAACCAGGGTTTTGAGAGTGTAGTTCGTGAAACCGAGAATGTACGGGGTGCGCTCTAAAGTGTAACTATGTAGTCTATATGTAATAGACCCATGGCATTCGCCATGATATGTGAACAGATTTGCTGAAGGCAAGACCCCGCCTCTTGACCTCCTAGATTTTGACCAATCAGCGGGCGCTTTCTATATCGGTTCTTCGGTCATTCAGCAGTTGCGCGTCATAGACAATGGATTAAAAAGCCCTGCGTCACGCGCTCGGTATCATGTTACGCGATAATGCGCCTGGCTGTTGTTGCATTACAAAATCATTCGAATTATTGACCAATCAAACCACAAGTCCTGATTTAGGAATGGAATGACGTCACGATTTAGTAAAGTCGACTCCGATTGGCTGGCGCGCGGCTTGCATATATGTATATGTCTAGACATATCAGACGTTATACATGAGGAGGCTTGCTCCGTGGATAACGGGTGATACTCAGACTAGTAAAGTGCCGCACTGTGGAGTATGTCAGTTCGTGAAACCCAAACATTTTTTTTGTAAATACGCGCGCGTGCAGCGCACTCACGCGCAACAGAGCGTCAGTTCGTGGTGCCGATGCTGATCAGTCAGTTGCCGTGTCATGTCACGCGTAGCTGTCTATTTTCTCGTCCACACAACCGACAGCAACGCGAGGCCAGCGAACAATGGCCGTAAAACGGCTTCAGAAAATTCGTAATTTTCATGCCAAACCACAACCAATCCACACAAAAAAAACTGTTTTAAGTAGTTAAAGACCTACTACATACATCTGGCAAGGTATTTTTTTCTCAAAAAAGGATTTCCATGCATTTTGACAACAATATTTCACGGACAAATCGACTAAAAAATACGTGATGAAATTTCCGCTTTCATTCGACAACGACGAAACTCTCCCGAATGTTGAGGTAATCAAAGGAAAGAATGAACCTTCATCTACAAAAAAATTCTCGTGAACGTGATGTCGTTAATATTTTAAGAATTCGATGTACACCTAATGTTTCCAAAACTTCCATTTTTCACAACGCGAAAAGATCGTCGCCATTGTAAAAGCACAGAGCAAGGAACCCAGACACGGTATGACCTTGTGACCCCATACTCCCACTGATTGGTCGAGCCCGAGATGGCCTACTTAATATTCATAAGTCATTCATTGCACGTTCGCGCGTGCTATTTTCAATTTTGGGCCTATACGTTTACACGCGTACACTTGTGATTGCAAATCATGACATTTCGCAAAAGTCTTCCTTTTTCAACCGGCGATTTGTGCCAAAAATCTAAAAGTCTCCTGCACGTGTTTTACATGAAAATGAAGCGTAGACTATCATCTATCTAATGAATCTTGCCATTTCTTTCGGCCTTTTTTAAGAATGGAATGTACACCTAAAAACTATCGGCCCTCACTTTTGTTGCTATAAAGTATGATTTTTGTTTGACACGAAGGCCTAGTAACAATACTTTATTTCTGTCAAAAGCAGTTATATTTGGTATCAAAATAAAGCACACGACTTAAACTTTTCACTAGCCTAGCCATCTTGGCCAAACAATGCATGTATCCAGGTACTTTTTGTGTTTTTCTGTAGTCTCGAATACAGTCTCGTAAAATTTTGCGTAGGCTTTTGGGCCATGCGTGCGTGACCTCGGGACAAGAAACTGAGGTTAAACAGGGCTCTGTGCGTGACACGGCCACTGACTGCGATGAGGTTCGTCTAAAAAGTTCAGACGAGAGTGCACGTTACAGGCTTTGGCCCACGGCCTCATGCGTTATAGCAGCACAAAACTTGCCTTTGAAGTTGATGCAGTTGCCTTGATGATTTTTTTTTTGCGTTACAATGTTAATTTTCATTATTGTCAATGATTTGACTTTTAAACCTTTGTTAGTCTTGAACAAGCTGAAACAAAGTAGTGGATATGATACAACTTTGTGAGTTTTGTTTGTTCTTAAAGTTTTATCCTCCAATCGAATGACAAAGATCTACTTGTATGTTATATCATGTTTTGCATTCGTACAATGGTGAGAATATTTTCACTCGTTGAAAGATGGAAAAATCCACATTCAATCTTTCAACTCATGAAAATATTCTCACCATGCATTGCACTCATAAACATTCATTATTTGTATACTAATATCCATTATGCTTCTGTGATCTTAGTTCTCAATCCACCAAGTTTTAGTTTCGGTCGCATTTGTTCCATTTTTAAAAGGGTGGAATTCAACAATTTGCAAATACATATAAATGCACAAAATCATACCTTCAAAAGACATTTAAATGTAGAAAGAAATACAGTGTTGCAGGGGCATCATTATTCTAGTTAACTCTTTTTGAAACAAAATATACTCCAGCCTTCCCCCCCCCCCCACCCCCCACCACCGAAATTTGGTTATGCATCCGCGCCCTTGCATTGTGCGTACATTATACATTTTATTTATTTGTAATATATTTGCATTCTCTAGATCTAAGCTTGAACCTCCCTAGTCAAAGAAATTCCCTATGGTTTTCATATAGTTCGTTTTGTAGGCGGTTCAGACTCCATGGAAGGTCGAGTGGAGGTGTTCTGGAACGGTGCTTGGGGACGGTCTGTGATGACGACTGGGACCTACTAGACGCAACAGTTATCTGCCGGGAACTGGGTTTTGCAGAAGCTGTTGCGGCTCCCCACAGAGCTGCATTTGGTGAGGGAACCGGAGCCATAGTGTTGGATAATGTTGAGTGCACGGGTAACGAGGAGACGGTGTTTGATTGCCCGGCAACAAGGGGATCGGGACATGACTGCGGGCATTACGAGGATGCCGGTGTTCGATGTAGTAAGTTGTTGACAACAGACTGAGTTTTTTTACGAGATCGAAAATACATTGTACATGCACGATATTATAACTTAAATTCGGGTTTTGTAATAACACAAACTGACTAAATTTGGTGAGGCAACCGTGGAAATGTTGTTGGATGATGTTGGTTGCACGGGTAACGAGGAGACGGTGAAAACAAAGACCAGGATACCACGACTGCATTCATTACGTACCGCAGCAGCCGTGGACGGCTCGAAATCACTATTGACGTGGATGGTTCTACGCGTCGTGTTAATGACGAAGTCAGATTGAGTATTGCAAACTCTCCACACGTCTTGCAATACACTGCGAGTTTTGCAAACAACATTGCGACGTGCAGCACGCAAATCTCTGTTCTTGGTAGGCAATTATTATTATACCCCAATGTATATTTAATATAAGATCAATTTGAATGCAGTCCTAAAGTTTTGCTGGATCGATCCGAAGTACCAGCGTTGTGTCCTGTGACTTTAATTCACTAAATCATTGAATATAGGCCTACAAATGATGCCCTAAACTGGCACTTTTGGGTCCAGCTTGGCTAAAGGTCTATCATGGGTTTTTTATCAGTATATAATTTTTGAATTTAAAACGATTTTTTCTTTAATTTTTTTTTAAAATATATTTCGTTCTCATTTCAGTTTGATATAGCTATTTTAAGCTTTTAATACTATTGTGCATATACATGTTTCCTCAGTTAATCAGCCACCAGTGATCACCTGCCCACCCAATCAGACGACTCAGACAGATCCAAAGCAAAACTTCGCAACAGTAACCTTACCCGAACCAGCCTCTGCATCCGACAACAGCGGATGGTTCGAAATCACCATTGACGCGGATGGTTCTACGTATCATGTAAATGACAGAGTCAGGTTGGATGCTGCGCAGTCTGCACACACATTGCAGTACACTGCAAGAGATGCCACCAACAACTTTGCCACATGCACCATGCAAATCACTGTTATAGGTAAGCAGTCATTTCCTGTGTTTACACCCGAACCTACTCTGACATGGAAAACCTTGTTTTGATTTTTCCCTTTTGCTGCGAAACAGAAATTTTGCAAAATCAAAACAACATAACTTGAGTATACGTAGTAGTTCCTTACAAGTGATGTTTCAAAACCAATTATTTTATGACATCGACTAATCCAGCGTGTTTTTTCCCCCGGCAATCGCAAGTAGATTTTGGTAAATGCTTAAGGTGTGTACGCCTATACACTCTTCTTCGTATCCATCTGTATGTGATGCGTACGTGCAGGTTTACCAAACTTATTCGTGCTTGATACATCTTGCTAGAATACATGTCAGAGTTTTGTCCAAGATAATTGAGGGCACCGAGATCGAATGTAATTTCCTCGTCATTGTGGTGTTGAATTGTTGATAGGAGCTCACCGCGTAGACTATCAGCAATGGTTTGCGGCATACAACCTGCACTTGGATTGTTCATTCTTTGTTGTGGTACAAGGTGAGATATGAGCATTTGAAGACTTGGCAAAGATAGTTCAAAGAGTTTGTTTGGAACCCTTTCCAAGATATTACACCAAAACACGTTTAACATTGACTTAGTGAGAGAAGAAACATTTTGCTGTGCTTTTACAACAGGTCAGTGCCCAACCAACACAACCACTGACGGTCTGAGATGGCCTGTAGCAGTAGCTGGATCCACTGCCAAGTCTGTCCAACGCTGTCCACTGACATCTGCAAATGGTTTGACTTCACCTCTCACAGTCTTTGAAACTTTCTCCCTGTTCTTCCAAGTTGTTCCTTCTGCCTGATGTATCCAATCTTTCTTGTAATCTTCACGATCGTCTCTCCACCTCAATATTTCTTTTTTTTTCGTTCGCTGTTCCTTGGCCGCAAGTCTCACTTATATCGCATTTATTCGCACAGTTCAGTTTGTTCTGATAGAATGGTTTGGCCCATCTGAATTATTGCTTTTTGATCACTCAAAATGAAGCTGGTGAACCCGAAGCCGTCCGGAACTGTTCGAAGTTGGAGGCGCCTCTCTACTTCCGATGGGAGGAGCAAGAGATTCGTGGCTGCGGGGACAAGAAGGAAGTGTCTCTCGAAAACGTCGTCAAGGTAATTTGTTTTATCTCAGGACGTTAGTTGATCCAAATTAGATGATGGCTCAATTTTCAGAAAGGCATAATAATATGGTCGCTCTTGCAGAGAGGTCCTAGTTTATGAATCACACTGCATGTGTTTACTTGAGCAAACTGTGAACAACTGCAGGCAGATGCGGTGTTTAATAAGAAGCTTATATATGAAGATGTGACCATGAACCATATTCGTTGACAGGTTGAGGTTAGCAAAGGCAATGCAGTCGAGGTGGCCGAGTTTCTAGCCAATCAGACGTCAGAGTCATCCAAGGAGGCAGAAGATGTTGCGGTGGTTGCCAGCATTTTGGAGAACATCGCAAAAGCAGGATCGGGGGACAAAGAGGTATGTTGAATTACGAGTCCGAAGAGGGGACTTATACATGGTTCAAAGAAAAAAAAGCGTTGTGGAACAGTGATATGGTAGAAATAAATGTAACTGAAGTTAATTATAATCATGATTTCTTGAAGGTGACAGAACTAGTGCTGGAGACTGTCAGCAATGTCATCATGAGTGTTGGGCCTGAAACTCCTGACTCCGAGCCCACTCAGATCGAGGCTGGTACCTCCTCAGCCATCATTCAGTCCGTAGAGACTCAAATCTCCCTGACACTTCAGCAAGAGGGTAAAGTCAGTATACGTCAGGACTCCATCCACGTGGAGGCGGTCAGTCTTGAGCCAAACCAGACCAGGAACGGACTCAGCTTCGTGTCCATGAAACAGTCTAATGTGACGTCTCCTGGACAAGGGTCACCGCAAGAGGGCACCCTTGCCGGTACCGAGATCGAGACTTTGTGCTCCAGTATGATACCAAAGGATCTCGATGTCTTGGCATCGGCTCGGTTGCCTGGCAACATCACTAATTTGCTACCGTCCCCTGATGGTAAGTTCATCATTCATGTGTGATCAAAGATTATGCACAATAATCGATATTTGACAAGATAAAAAAGAGGGTGTGGCTATGCGGTGGTTGCTAAGGTCTACTATGCAAGCAATGGTTCAAATTGTGCGTACGTTTGAGACGCACTGCTGTTCCTTGTTGAAAGTGGAGTTATGATAAAAATGTTGGGATCACCTAAGCCTCCGGAAGCAGATTGTTATAGAATCTTAAACATCTTTCAAGGGATGACACTATGAAACGTTGTTTGTTGATAAGATTTTCGGGGGAAGTGCAAACCAAATATGAGAAACGTACCTCTTTAAACTATTTCTTCACAATGTAGCTCAGCTGCAAGCCAGTTTCCTGATTTACGCTGATGACACGTTGTTCCAGTCTGCTTCGATCAGAGAGCATCGAGGGGAGGGTAACTCGACTCGTAAGGTCGCTGGATCTGTCGTCTCACTGACTGTGGAGAATGTTGAACTTGTCAACCTCGCAGAACCAGTCGTGATTGAATTCAAGGTGATCATGAGATAATTAATATTCCAGTTCATCCAGAGTAGAATACTTCACTGTTGCACGAGGGACTATTCCTGCCAACTTAACATCAACGTCCAAGTTAATCATTTCAGATTGTACCCTCAATTGTGTGTAACTTTTTATCAATCTTCCGATTTCGATACTTAGGAGGAATCAAGCGAGGTCCACTGCGTGTCCTGGGACTTTGAGCTGGAAGATGGAGTCGGTGATTGGACAACAGATGGATGTGCGCTTGCTGAAGTGACCAATAAGACAGTCGTGTGTAATTGCTCTCATGCCACCAACTTCGCAATCCTAGTGGTATGTATAGTTCAATCTTGTGATTCCAAACTACTACATACAGCTTTTTTTCCCATTTAAGAATGTAACAATTGCAGCCTCAAGGTGACTAGACTCCCGCAGGTTGCACCAACATTAGATCATGGAGCACATCACAAAGCAAAAGAGTACCCCTTTCAGTTCGAAGAAAGAGCGACACTACTTTAAGCCATACGAAAAGGAAAGGTCCGTTAAGTCAGGAAAAGAAGGAAAGTTATCAGGAAAAATACAATACATTGTTCTATAAAATCTACATGATTTCACCGTTTGTACCTTTTTGAAATGCCTACGTTCAATGCCAACAAAAACACTTCATCTTCACTCACTGAATGTTTCTCCACGTTTATAATTAGGAGATCATTTTAATTGTTGGATACATAGATGCTACTATGAAAATTGGCTGGATTGGTAACTGGTATGAGGTTTCTTGCAGGATGTGAAGGGCCAAGCACCTGATGACAAAGATGACACTCCTGCTAAGCAAGCGCTTGATATCATCAGCCATGTTGGCGCTGCACTGTCAATCATAAGTCTGGCTATCACGCTGATCATATACTTAGCTATCAGGTAAGATCATTGTGATGAAACGATCAGCAAAATTAAACCCAACCATGTTTCTCTGTATGCTTATTACTCATACGTTCCATGTGTTGTCTTGTCGCTGTAAGGCAGTGTGAAAATAAAGAATATATATATAAACATCTTAACTTTTTTTGGTAGGAAACTGCGAAGCGGAAAATCTCGTCAGATCTTCATCAATTTCTGCTTCTCGTTGTTCATGTTGTACATCGTGTTCGTTGCCGGCGTCGACAATGCTAAGGTGAGCAATGTTACATAACGCAGGAAACTTTTAAGTTTAATTGAAGGGGCGATAGATATGTGGAGGCACCAAGAGGTCAAAAGTGGCAAGGACCGGTCGGTAAAAGCACTTTCCATATCTTGAAAGGCATTGATTGTAATGTCTTTTGTGAATTGCATCTTGCTTTGAAATTATAACAGTTATATCTACATGTACTTCAATTTAAAGGGTTCCGGAGGTGGTTGTGTGTTTGTGGCTGCTTTACTCCACTACTTGACTCTGTCCACCATGATGTGGATGGCCGTTGAAGCCAGGAACATGTACGTCAGTACGGTGAAGGTATTCCCAGAAGACACGCCTCACTACATGCTCAAGGCTTGCCTCATCGCTTGGGGTGAGTCCATGTCTAAACTCAAACATTATTTTTAAATAGATACCAAGCAAAATCATTGTTATCTTCAGTTGAATCAAGATTGGAATCAAGTTGAATCAAGAATAAGATTTCAATCTCCTTTTTTAGGTTCTCCATTGATTGTGTTGATTATCACCTTGGCTGCAGCATCACATCACTATGCCAACGAGCATTAGTAAGTGAATGACCATGTTAGCTTTTCATCTGAGGGCGCTGTTTGGATTCCCCAATGACTGACACTCTCTCTCTACCTAATTATTATTCAAATACGGTAGTTCTCGAAATGTCGGCTTTGTCCCAAACTTCTGCTTACTTCACTGTATGCAGGGAATTTATGAACCTTCTACAATCTAAACTACTCCAAATTTTATTCTCTCACGCATATGATTTTGTACTCTTCAAGCAGACCTTGGACCCATAATGCGCCGAATTCTCCAGGATCAGAGGTCTACAATCTCTTAACACAAGCCGAAACTGGAAACAAAGACAAAGTTTCGAAAATGTCCAAAGACTTATACAGATGCGACTGTGAGGTTAATAAGCACTCTATTAAAACTGGTATTACCTACCTATATTTAAAAAAAATTATGATCAATATTTCTTCGTTTGTAGCTGCTTCGTTGAGCCTGGTCTTGTGCTGTACCTCGGCCTCCTTGCTCCCATTGGTCTCATCCTCCTCCACAACATCATCACCTTCATCTTGGTCATGCGCAGTCTCCTGAAGGTCAAGGAGGCATCTCGCTCCCAGCAGATCTCCAAACGCCTCCAGAATGCTGTGGGAATCTCCGCCCTCATGGGCTTGACCTGGTGTTTTGGGTTTCTGGCGATCAATGAGGCAGCCTTTGCCTTCCAGCTCATCTTCTGTCTGGCCAACTCCTTGCAGGTGGGTTTTCATTCCTTTGCCCCTCATTTCAGCGCGGTACAAGCTCACTTAATTCCCACACTTTTACCAACTATGTAGTTCACTGTCTTGAGACGTTAATCTGTCATGATGTTTAACTACCGGGACAAGGTATTGTGGCTTCCCGTGAGCTCTGTTGCCCCAAAGAGTTTGTTTTACAGGTACAAGTACACTCATTAGATGTGCTCAAGTAAACTGTCGTTCCTCCATCGCGTACCGTACCCTCATCACAGGCTCTTAATACCAATTATTTGCCTCCTTTCCCTAGCACTGTATGTGGGCTAAGGGTTATGGTGAATGACGTGTAATTTTTACGGCCTCACTGTGTAGGCTCCTTAATACCAAGAACGTGCTCTCCTATTGTAGCGTGAATATTGGGTTCTTGTCCTCCAAGTCTCGCCAAACGCAGGAAATAGGGGTACACACACAGGATAACTCCAGAGAAACTTGAATTTATTCAGCGAATTGTGCGGTCAACATGCCGCGCTGCTACCAGAACGTGAACTGCTGATTCCCAGCATAGAATTACACAGGCAGACAGAACTTAGTACATTGTAACAACTTAGCCCGCCATGGAGTCTATTTTTAGGAACTAATTTCCGGACCGCGCGCTACTTGTAACAAAGGAACTAGGTCAGCGAAGTGTAAACAGCGCGTCATCGGAGCCCTCAGTCGGCGCGGCGTCTAGTAAACAAAAAAAATGCTATACAAACTGTCCGTAACACTTTCCACAGATTCCATTTCTCTCATTTACATTTTTTTTTCATTTTGTAGTTGAAGCCATTATACCTTGTAGACCTTTGCCTTATGGCTTTTAAAAAAAAAATGTAAAAGAGGGGTGGGAGCTACGTTCCAACATCAATTTTTCAAAGGACGGAGTTTCTTTGATAACCAAGCCGTTTGTAAAGCCAGGTTCATACTTGCGAATGGGAAGCGAACTTCATGTCGTCAGTAACGGGTGGACGCGCTTCGAACGTACTATTGTTGACGGCACAAATTTCGCTTCGCTTTCGCATTAAGTAGGCTATGAACCGGGCTTTAGTGTCGTAATTATTTGCTCCCATTGTAGGGCGTGATTGTGTTCATCATGTTCTGCGCTCGACGTGAGGAGGTCCGCACAGCCCTGGCGCCCTACATGAAGCGCATCTGCTGCGGCCATGAGTGCCGTCTGCCCACACTGCATCCTGAAAAGTCTAACGAGTCAGAATTGGTGTCAGCGACGGCTCACACTGTACCGTCAGCCGGGCAGAGTGCAGAAGTGGAGATCTCTGTGACAACACCGCAATAGGAAGACCACGTTGCGATTTCGAAGAAAGGTTCACTGCAAGGTTGAGCCATTCTTGTGGCATACATTTGCTAAGTTCTGGGGTCGTTGAGGTTCCGTTATAACAGGTAACGTCAAGCAGATATTGACACCCTCCAAGCCCTAAAACGTCATGTTCTATGTTTAATAATCGATACGTATGGTGTTTCATTTAAAAAAATGTTTAGCATATTTCATAAACTGCTTAGAATGTTTTAAGCTGTATTTAGATTATTATACTGCAAGGAATTGGGAAAATAGTAATAAAACGCAGAGCTTCTTTATAATTACATTATTCTCAAATTTATATAACATTTGATCAATTTTACATTTCGACATGAAATCTGATAAAATCAACCTGAGTCAAGGTGCGAACAAGAGGTTGATTCGCGTGTATATTTCCTAAGGCAAATACTTATAATCAGAAACCGTTTCGTTATTTCACGATCAAGTGAAAGCATTTTATGGAGTATCGATTAAATATATCGAGTCTCGACTATTTAGCATAATTGATATTCTGCAACCTGTTAATGATTGCTATTCAGTTTACATAAACTAACACACTGTAATATTGATATTTCTAGCGATTTTTTTTACCACTGGATACACAACTTGAAAGCCATGAGGCGTACCCAATGCTGAGCAGATACGAATCCTTCAACCAATGAAGAAACTTAAATCAACTAATTATATTGACTGAATTCGCTGCTTTGTTTGCAGATTGCATATAGTTATTACACATTGCTACAATATAACATATTACAAATTGCAAATATTATTCAGAATTAAAATATGGTTTAAATTGTTTTTCGTAAAGACAATATAACATAGCCCACACTGTGTAGCTCCAGGAGAGGCCTACTGGTGCCCAGAAATTCGGCATGTCGAAACAGTAAAGTCTCCTCCCCCGACATAAAAACATGGACACGCTAATGATAGGGCCCTATTTGTAAGTTTGAAAACCACGATAAACAACCCTGACTGTCATTGCCCCCCCCCCCTGTCGTGGCCCCCTGTTGTTGCTGAATTCTCGGTGTTTCATGCCGACCCACTTGTGGCCACTGGCTTGGCTGGGGATAAGGGGGGGGGGGTATTTACCCCCCCCCCCCAATATTATGTAAAGACTGCCTATTTGCATTCAAGTGCCTTTTTTCGCAAATATTCCCCCCCCCCCCATTATTTTGAAGGGTGCCCTTTGTTTTAAAACGAGTGTTTTTTTAAGTGCTTTTTTTTTTAAACAAATGCCCTTTTCCCCCAAAAAAACTTAGTGCCTTTTTTAAATAGCGGGTGTGACGAGTGCCTTTTTGGACATCTCGTGCGTGTGCCTCCCTGAAAACATATTTAACATAAACAAAAAATAACTATCAGAGGCTCAAGAGGCTCAGAGGCTCAATTTGATGTCAATGATGGATAAAGATGAAACCGTCACTGTGTTTGATCGTGTGGGTTGTATGTACGCTGTAGACATCTTCACATTTTGGATACGTACAACTTATTTCCCATATTCAAGTTATATTTTGTATCGGTTGATTTTTTTTTATGTGGTTTGTAGAGTTGATTATTCCATAAATTTGGGATCCAAAAGTGTGACTTTTTTGCTGTGTCCTGTGTCCTGAATGTACAGAATCTTATCTCAGATGTAACAGGGAGACGAAAACAATTGAACCCCACATTTATGGGATGACCAGTTGCCTGTAAAATGTTGTCGTCTTTTTTAGACCATTATCATGTCGCGGCCATCTTGATTTTTTCCCATTCAAATCAACGTAACCAAAGAGCAAAATAGTCTGGTTCTTTTTGCACAGAAAACGTTATCATTCAGTACTGTTATTAGATACAGGCAAAAATTCAAATCAACGTAACCAAAGCGAGGCTGGAGAGCAAAGTAGTCTGGTTCTTTTTGCACAGAAAACGTTATCATTCAGTACTGTTATTGGATACAGGCAACATGACTAAAATGGTGGCAGCACGATAAAGGTATATTACATTGAAAATTTACAACTGTGAGTTCCCCCATTGAGAAGCATTTGTCAGTGTTTGTTTTTGTCAGTCAATGTATTTTTCGTTGAAAGGGGAACAAGGTAACAAAAAACAATATTTTTTTACCGTGTTCTGCGGCATCAACATTTAGTGTCCTATTCCTGGACTAAATTTAGACACCTGCCATAATTACAAGGAACTTGGAATGAAACCCGCAGGAAAAAATATATTTGGACAGGAAAGTACATGTATCCTGATCACAGGCGTGTACAGTGAGGTTATTATTTATCATAACAATTCCTTAACCCTTAACCCCTAGCAATTATATACTAGGAACCTTCCTCATCCTTGCAAATCCCAACAGCGTATGGTAAACTGTGCATATGTTTAATCTCATATAAAACACAGTCAGTTTACTAGAGCACTACTCATCCTAACAGATTCCAACAAACCCTGGTGTCGGAGTTTGGCTGGTTGGGGGTCGTTTGGGTTAAGGTGTGATGCAGATTTTTTTTTCTCGTTTTGAATGGTACATTCTACTTATGTTTTCTGTAATATTTTTCCTTTCATTGTCATGTTAAAATGCATTTAGTATAGGGCCTATGTACATGTATGTTTATGAGTATTTTTTTAGAACAGAGAATATGTGTGAAAGAGTTTTTGTGCGAGCATCAGTCAAATAGTAAAAAAGCGTGAGAAGACATGGAGGAAGTAATAATTTCACATTGTGTGTACATGGTATGTATAAACACTGGCAATCGTGGACCTAGGACAAAAGGGTTAGGGCACAAACAAAACGTCCACGATTGACCGATAGTCCTCGATTGAAATTCGTGTTCAAAACCAATGAGAGCTGTTGAGTACAAACAAAGGAATGAGGATTAGGGACAATAGGGGGTCCACGATTGCCGGTGTTTACAAAGATGAGTTTGTCTTACAGTCACTATGTGGACGTGAACAAAAGATGTCCACATAATGCAGGTTCTACCAACACAAGTACAATGTACTCCCAATACTAGCACAGCCTACTTATAAGGCCAAAAAAACCTCCGGTTTCTGGTATGGAGCTTGCCCAAAAAGTGGTGCGGCGACGCGGCTTTTTTGTCTTTACTGTTTTTTTTTGCTTCTAAGTCGGCTAATGACTGCAAATGGTGCCCGACTAAACTTAGCGCAAATATTATGGGAGACCATTACTCGGGTAATACTCAATAGAGTTGCCAAACATAGCTGAGAACAGAGAACAAGTTCGAGTGCACATAAGCTCTGGCCGCCTTGCATGAAAGTCTTGCATGAAATGATTGACTTATTGCGCGCGGTAGAATCGCGTTAGAATCGCGTCAATGCAGCTTGTGAAATATTGTCCAATTACATTAAATATTGAAGGGACGCAGAACGCGCAAAATCTGAGACAAACAAAACTTAGCGTACACAAATTCCATAGGGTTGTCTAAGGGGCGTGGCTTACTCGCCCCTAGTTTATAAATAACGATAAAACGGTGTTTAGTTCGTTATATACAAATAAATAAATAAATCGATATCAGCAGAACTTGTTTTATGACAAATTCATTCTCTAGCTCTTTAACCTTTTCAGTAGGAACGATTTGAAGTATTGTTTTTATTCTTCGCGCAGTCTTGCCAAATCTTCAGAGATGGTCTGTGTATCATGTTAACCAGGAAATATATTTATTTCTATATCCTTCATACAGTCATAAAAAATACAATGCCAGCTGGACCGTATCAACAAGGAAACTGAGGGCATTTTGTTGTGTTTCATGTCAAGTAGGCCAACTTTCACTCTCAGATAGATAAACAACATTATAAAGTCAACTTTGACAATTATGACACGCAAGGGTCGTGACATTGATACGTGATGTATATAAAAGCTTTACTAAAAGTTGCCTCCTCATTGTCCATCTTGCAAAGAGCAATGTTGGTACATGTTTTCAGCGAAAAAAACACAAGGAAATTGAGTCTGTGAGAGACTGGTAAATAAATAAGTGCATCAGCAACTTGTCATGGACGCCATGTTCAACATGAGGTCAGGGAGATCTTTCTCTGTGGCGTTTGCCATCCTCGTTTTCTTTGCCTTCGGATGCAAGTTCCAAGTGGCTGCTTTTGGTAAGCGATAATTATAATTCATTTGAGGCCGGCATACGGCTTCAAAGAATTTATTGCTCCCTAGACAGTTTTTGGTATGCTGTCCTCGGAACAGGCCTCCTTTCTCACGCCCATGTGTGGTCACTGGATAATTGAAACAAGGCCAGTGCCTCCTTTATTAACAGAACATCCTTGGTGTTTGTCACATTTCGTCAGAGCAGTTTTTGCTGGATAGTTGTGTATTTCGTTCTCCAATCTTAACGTAAACAAAGTTCTGTTACTTGTCGAAGCCTGATTTCTTTACCAGCTGTCTTGTCGCATGGGGCAATAATCAACTCAATTGTTAAGAACTGGTTAACTTAACCCTAAAATGGACAGGAGGCGAAATGCGTCCCCCAACTTTTTCCGCGATAGCCTTGACTTTTTGTTTCGCGACTGGAGCTGTTATGAATTTTTAGCCTAGAGCCTTGCACATCTTTTGATACCAAAAACATAAAAATCGGACCACGGGTTGCCGCGCAACGAAAATTATTCCGGCGCTACGCGACGTGAAAACCGAACTTTCCCATATACGTCGTGTGCACAGAGCAGAATTGCCATTCGTACATATGAATAATTAATTAACCATAATTCCCAAACCCTTTGATCTATAGTCCTGAAATTTCTTGGGTATCTTTATGATGAGTTTCTCTATGCATGTACCGAGTTTCAAAAAATTTCGTCACTCGATGGCTGAGATCTTAGGGGGGCGGTGGGGGATCCCCCCCCCCCCAGCTGAGTGATGGACAAAATAACCAAGCCCTTTTAGGGTTAAGGTAAAATGTGAGGCGTTCAGGCAAATTGAGACAGAGCTGGGTAGAGGTCGAAGTAAACGTTTGCGGGTATAAGTAATAAGGAGAAATAATATTCTCCTTGCGATACCGTTTGTTGCACTTCAATTGGATATTCCGTTGACAAGTTATGACTGTTAAAAGTTCGAATTTATCGAATTTATCGAACAAAAAAGTTAACTATTTAGAAAAAGACCTTTAAAGTTCGAATTTTGTAGTCGTGGAAATGAAAGATGTCAATTGTTTTTCCTTAGAAACGCATTTATTCCAAGATGTTCAGGTGTAGTACACAATCATATCCAAGAAAAAAACTTACCCCATTCGGTGTCCCCCCCCCCCCCCCCCCCCCCCCATTTTGTCTCCACTATGGCCTGTGCCCATTCCTGTCTCACTTTGGCTTAATGTCTCACAAATATCATTTGGGGAAATTTTTTTTAACCAGCCGTTGGGCTGTTCACCTGTTCAGCAACAGTTAGTTAAAAGTAGTCCTTTTACTGGTTAAATGTACCCGATTTTAACCATCGTTGGGTGAATTGACTACTTTTAACCAACTGTTGCTTAACAGGTGAACAGCCCAACGGTTGATTAAAAAAAAATTAACCAACGTTGGGCGAAACGTGCCCAACGTTGAGCCAACGTTGGGCAAAATTGGACAATTTTACACAACGTTGGTTAAAATTTTGTTGGTTAACCAACATTTAAATCAACAAAATTTTAACCAGGGTTTTGAGAGTGTAGTTCGTGAAACCGAAAATGTACGGGGTGCGCTCTAAAGTGTAACTATGTAGTCTATATGTAATAGACCCATGGCATTCGCCATGATATGTGAGCAGATTTGCTGAAGGCAAGACCCCGCCTCTTGACCTCCTAGATTTTGACCAATCAGCGGGCGCTTTCTATATCGGTTCTTCGGTCATTCAGCAGTTGCGCGTCATAGACAATGGATTAAAAAGCCCTGCGTCACGCGCTCGGTATCATGTTACGCGATAATGCGCCTGGCTGTTGTTGCATTACAAAATTATTCGAATTATTGACCAATCAAACCACAAGTCCTGATTTAGGAATGAAATGACGTCACGATTTAGTAAAGTCGACTCCAATTGGCTGGCGCGCCGCTTGCATATATGTATATGTGTAGACATATCAGACGTTATACATGAGGAGGCTTGCTCCGTGGATAACGGGTGATACTCAGACTAGTAAAGTGCCGCACTGTGGAGGATGTCAGTTCGTGAAACCCAAACATTTTCTGTAAATACGCGCGCGTGCAGCGCACTCACGCGCAACAGAGCGTCAGTTCGTGGTGCCGATGCTGATCAGTCAGTTGCCGTGTCATGTCACGCGTAGCTGCTCTATTTTCTCGTCCACACAACCGACAGCAACGCGAGGCCAGCGAACAATGGCCGTAAAACGGCTTCAGAAAATTCGCAATTTTCATGCCAAACCACAACCAATCCACAAAAAAAAAACTGTTTTAAGTAGTTACAGACCTACTACATACATCTGTCAAGGTATTTTTTTTCTCAAAAAAGGATTTCCATGCATTTTGACAACAATATTTCACGGACAAATCGACTAAAAAATACGTGATGAAATTTCCGTTTCCATTCGACAACGACGAAACTCTCCCGAATGTTGAGGTAATCAAAGGAAAGAATGAACCTTCATCTACAAAAAAATTCTCGTGAACGTGATGTCGTTAATATTTTAAGAATTCGATGTACACCTAATGTTTCCAAAACTTCCATTTTTCACAACGCGAAAAGATCGTCGCCATTGTAAAAGCACAGAGCAAGGAGCCCAGACACGGTATGACCTTGTGACCCCATACTCCCACTGATTGGTCGAGCCCGAGATGGCCTACTTAATATTCATAAGTCATTCATTGCACGTTCGCGCGTGCTATTTTCAATTTTGGGCCTATACGTTTACACGCGTACACTTGTGATTGCAAATCATGACATTTCGCAAAAGTCTTCCTTTTTCAACCGGCGATTTGTGCCAAAAATCCAACAGTCTCCTGCACGTGTTGCACATGAAAATTAAGCGTAGAGTATCATCTATCTAATGAATCTTGCCATTTCTGTCGGCCTTTTTTAAAAATGGAATGTACACCTAAAAACTACGGGTCCTCACTTTTGTTGCTATAAAGTATGATTTTTGTTTGACACGAAGGCCTAGTAACAGTACTTTATTTCTGTCAAAAGCAGTTATATTTGGTATCAAAATAAAGCACACGACTTTAACTTTTCACTAGCCTAGCCATCTTGGCCAAACAGTGCATGTATCCAGGTACTTTTTGTGTTTTTCTGTAGTCTCGAATACAGTCTCGTAAAATCTCGCGTAGGCTTTTGGGCCATGCGTGCGTGACCTCGGGACAAGAAACTGAGGTTAAACAGGGCTCTGTGCGTGACACGGCCACTGACTGCGATGAGGTTTGTCTAAAGAGTTAAGACGAGAGTGCACGTTACAGGCTCTGGCCCACGGCCTCATGCGTTATAGCACCCAAAACTTGCCTTTGAAGTTGATGCAGTTGCCTTGATGATTTTTTTTTTGCGTTACAATGTTAATTTTCATTATTGTCAATGATTTGACTTTTTAAACCTTTGTTAGCCTTGAACAAGCTGAAACAAAGTAGTGGATATGATACAACTTTGTGAGTTTTGTTTGTTCTTAAAAGTTTTATCCTCCAATCGAATGACAAAGATCTACTCGTATGTTATATAATGTTTTGCATTCGTGCAATGGTGAGAATATTTTCACTCGTTGAAAGATGGAAAAATCCACATTCAATCTTTCAACTCATGAAAATATTCTCACCATGCATGTCACTCATAAACATTCATTATTTGTGTACTAATATCGATTATGCTTCTGTGATCTTAGTTCTCAATCCACCAAGTTTTAGTTTCGGTCGCATTTGTTCCATTTTTAAAAGGGTGGAATTCAACAATTTGCAAATTCAGCCAAATGCACGAAATCATACCTTCAAAAGACATTTAAATGTAGAAAGAAATGCAGTGTTGCTGGGGCATCATTATTCTAGTTAACTCTTTTTGAAACAAAATATACTCCAGCCTTCTCCCCCCCCCCCCCCACCAAAATTTGGTTATGCATCCGCGCCCTTGCATTGTGCGTACATTATACATTTTATTTATTGTAATATATTTGCATTCTCTAGATCTAAGCTTGAACCTCCCTTGTCAAAGAAATTCCCTATGGTTTTGATATAGTTCGTTTGGTAGGCGGTTCAGACTCCATGGAAGGTCGAGTGGAGGTGTTCTGGAACGGTGCTTGGGGGACGGTCTGTGATGACCTCTGGGACCTACGAGACGCAACAGTTATCTGCCGGGAACTGGGTTTTGCAGAAGCTGTTGCGGCTCCCCACGGAGCTGTATTTGGTGAGGGAACCGGAGCCATACACTGTTGGATGATGTTGAGTGCACGGGTAACGAGGAGACGGTGTTTGATTGCCCGGCAATAAGGGGATCGGGACACAACTGTGTGCATTACGAGGATGCCGGGGTTCGATGTTGTAAGTTGTTGACAACAGACTGAGGTTTTTTTTACGAGATCGAGAATACATTTTACATGAACGGTATTAATAATTCGGGTTTTGTAAAAACACAAACTGACTGAATTTGGTGAGGGAACCGTGGACATGGTGTTGGATGATGTAAGTTGCACGGGTAACGAGGAGACGGTGAAATTGCACGGCAAGAAGACCGGGAGAACACGACTGCATTCATTACGAGGATGCCGGGGTTCGATGTAGATAGTTGCAATGCTAACATCAAAATCTAGATTGACTTTCCTAAGATAGTAAAAACAAATATGTACACTATCTCAAAGTTATAACACACAATCACTGCCTTTTGCGCTTTCAGTATGCATGGTTTACTCCCGCACTTCCCTAAAGGCATATTGCAGTGCCAGAATTTCTCCCGGTATATGTCAAGTGACATATTTTTGGTATTTTGATTATGCTTATAGCTGGAGATCGACCCGTCATAATAATCTGCCCATCTAATCAGACGATCGATTCAGATTCAAACCAGAACTTCGCTACGGTCAACCTACCTGGTCCTGCCGCTTCGTACCACAGCAGCCTTGGACAGCTCGAAATCACTATTGACGTGGATGGTTCTACGCGTCGTGTTAATGACGAAGTCAGATTGAGTATTGCAAACTCTCCACACGTCTTGCAATTCAATGCAAGTGATGCAAACAACACTGCGACGTGCAGCATGCAAATCTCCGTTGTTGGTAGGCAATTATTATTATACCCCAATGTATACGTAATATGAGAACAATTTGAATGCAGTCTTTTAAAGTTTTGCTGGATCGATCCGAAGTGCCAACGTTCTGTTCTGTGACTTTAATTCACTGACTCATCGAGTACAGGCCTACAAAAAATGCCCGAAACTGGCACTTTTCGGTCCAGCTCTGCTAAAGGCCTGTTTTTTATATTATTTGTTACAGTTTATTTTTGAATTTAAAATGTTAAGAAAATTGTTTAAATTGTTCGTTCTTATTTACATTTGGATATAGCTATTTTAAGCTTTTATTATTATGTTATTTTTTTATCTGGGAAGCGGCTCAAGATGGACTATACAGTCTTCTCCACAACCCCTGACATCTCGAAGGTGTTGGATGATGCAAGAGCCAGGGGTTGAGGGGCAGACGCACATTCATTTAAGCTTTCCCTACGTAGTCAGCATTCCCAATGGCCATGCAAAATAATTGGCAAAGAAAAATGATTATTGACAATGAATACTGTCTTATCTTACTAAATAAATGTCAAGTCTGATTTCTGGATTTCTTTTTTAATATTGTTCGTTCTCATTTACAGTTTGATATACCTGTAGCTATTTTAAGCTTTTATTATTATTTTTATCTGGGAGCGGTTCAAGATGGACTGTACAGTCTTTTCCACAACCCCTGACATCTCGAAGGTGTTGGATGATGCAAGAGCCAGGGGTTGAGGGCAAGACGCACACTCATTTAAGCCGGGCGTATATACGTAGTCAACATTCTCAATGGCCGTGCAAAATAATTGGCCTGGAATAATGATTATTGACAATGGTTACTGTCTCATCCAACTAAATTAATGTCAAGTCCGATTTCTGAATCCGGCCCTGACAGGGATAGGTGTTCGTTTGGTAGGCGGTTCAGACTCCATGGAAGGTCGAGTGGAGGTGTTCTGGAACGGTGCTTGGGGGACAGTCTGTGAAGACCTCTGGGACATACAAGACGCAACCGTTATCTGCCGGGAACTGGGTTTTGGAGAAGCTTATGCGGCTCCCATTGGAGCTGCATTTGGTGAGGGGACCGGAAACATACTGTTGGATGATGTTCGTTGCAGGGGTAACGAGCAGACGGTGTTTGATTGCCCGGCAATAAGGGGATCGGGACACAACTGCTGGCTTGGCGAGGATGCCGGGGTTCGATGTAGTAAGTTGTTGACAACAGACTGAGTTTTTTTTTTACGAGATCGAAAATACATTGTACATGAACGCTATTAATAATTCGGGTTTTGTAATAACACAAACTGACTGAATTTGGTGAGGTAACCGTGGACATGGTGTTGGATGATGTTGGTTGCACGGGTAACGAGGAGACGGTGAAATTGCACGGCAAGAAGACCGGGAGAACACGACTGCATTCATTACAAGGATGCCGGGGTTCGATGTAGTTAGTTGCAATGCTGACATCAAAATCCAGACTGGTTTTTTATAAGATAGTAAAAAAATTACAGTTGATGACAGTTTTCGAATTTGAAAGTGTAAAATAGTATTTATTCACAGTAACATAACTCGTCATGATCGAACATTTGATCTGAGACAATTTGTAATATCTGAGATGATTCAAAATGATACAGTATGTAGTTGAAGAAGATTAAAGTATAAGAAGTTAATATGTACACTATCTCAAAGTAATACACACAATCACTGCCTTTCGCGCTTTCAGTATAAATGGTCTACCCCCACTTTTCCCTAAAGGCATATTGCAGTGCCAGAATTTCTCCCGGTATATGACAAGTGACATATTGTTGGTATTTTGATTATGCTTATAGCTGGAGATCGACCCGTCATAATAATCTGCCCATCAAATCAGACGATCCTGTCAGATCCAAACCAGACCTTCGCTACGGTCAACCTACCTGGTCCTGCCGCTTCGTACCACAGCAGCCTTGGACAGCTCGAAATCACTATTGACGTGGATGGTTCTACGCGTCGTGTTAATGACGAAGTCAGATTGAGTATTGCAAACTCTCCACACGTCTTGCAATTCAATGCAAGTGATGCAAACAACTCTGCGACGTGCAGCATGCAAATCTCCGTTGTTGGTAGGCAATTATTATTATACCCCAATGTATACGTAATATGAGAACAATTTGAATGCAGTCTTTTAAAGTTTTGCTGGATCGATCCGAAGTGCCAACGTTCTGTTCTGTGACTTTAATTCACTGACTCATCGAGTACAGGCCTACAAAAAATGCCCGAAACTGGCACTTTTCGGTCCAGCTCTGCTAAAGGCCTGTTTTTTATTTTATTTGTTACAGTTTATTTTTGAATTTAAAATGTTAAGAAAATTGTTTAAATTGTTCGTTCTTATTTACATTTGGATATAGCTATTTTAAGCTTTTATTATTATGTTATTTTTTTATCTGGGAAGCGGCTCAAGATGGACTATACAGTCTTCTCCACAACCCCTGACATCTCGAAGGTGTTGGATGATGCAAGAGCCAGGGGTTGAGGGGCAGACGCACATTCATTTAAGCTTTCCCTACGTAGTCAGCATTCCCAATGGCCATGCAAAATAATTGGCAAAGAAAAATGATTATTGACAATGAATACTGTCTTATCTTACTAAATAAATGTCAAGTCTGATTTCTGGATTTCTTTTTTAATATTGTTCGTTCTCATTTACAGTTTGATATACCTGTAGCTATTTTAAGCTTTTATTATTATTTTTATCTGGGAGCGGTTCAAGATGGACTGTACAGTCTTTTCCACAACCCCTGACATCTCGAAGGTGTTGGATGATGCAAGAGCCAGGGGTTGAGGGCAAGACGCACACTCATTTAAGCCGGGCGTATATACGTAGTCAACATTCTCAATGGCCGTGCAAAATAATTGGCCTGGAATAATGATTATTGACAATGGTTACTGTCTCATCCAACTAAATTAATGTCAAGTCCGATTTCTGAATCCGGCCCTGACAGGGATAGGTGTTCGTTTGGTAGGCGGTTCAGACTCCATGGAAGGTCGAGTGGAGGTGTTCTGGAACGGTGCTTGGGGGACAGTCTGTGAAGACCTCTGGGACATACAAGACGCAACCGTTATCTGCCGGGAACTGGGTTTTGGAGAAGCTTATGCGGCTCCCATTGGAGCTGCATTTGGTGAGGGGACCGGAAACATACTGTTGGATGATGTTCGTTGCAGGGGTAACGAGCAGACGGTGTTTGATTGCCCGGCAATAAGGGGATCGGGACACAACTGCTGGCTTGGCGAGGATGCCGGGGTTCGATGTAGTAAGTTGTTGACAACAGACTGAGTTTTTTTTTTACGAGATCGAAAATACATGGTACATGAACGCTATTAATAATTCGGGTTTTGTAATAACACAAACTGACTGAATTTGGTGAGGTAACCGTGGACATGGTGTTGGATGATGTTGGTTGCACGGGTAACGAGGAGACGGTGAAATTGCACGGCAAGAAGACCGGGAGAACACGACTGCATTCATTACAAGGATGCCGGGGTTCGATGTAGTTAGTTGCAATGCTGACATCAAAATCCAGACTGGTTTTTTATAAGATAGTAAAAAAGTTACAGTTGATGACAGTTTTCGAATTTGAAAGTGTAAAATAGTATTTATTCACAGTAACATAACTCGTCATGATCGAACATTTGATCTGAGACAATTTGTAATATCTGAGATGATTCAAAATGATACAGTATGTAGTTGAAGAAGATTATAGTATAAGAAGTTAATATGTACACTATCTCAAAGTAATACACACAATCACTGCCTTTCGCGCTTTCAGTATAAATGGTCTACCCCCACTTTTCCCTAAAGGCATATTGCAGTGCCAGAATTTCTCCCGGTATATGACAAGTGACATATTGTTGGTATTTTGATTATGCTTATAGCTGGAGATCGACCCGTCATAATAATCTGCCCATCTAATCAGACGATCCTGTCAGATCCAAACCAGACCTTCGCTACGGTCAACCTACCTGGTCCTGCCGCTTCGTACCACAGCAGCCTTGGACGGCTCGAAATCACTATTGACGTGGATGGTTCTACGCGTCGTGTTAATGACGAAGTCAGATTGAGTATTGCAAACTCTCCACACGTCTTGCAATTCAATGCAAGTGATGCAAACAACTCTGCGACGTGCAGCTCGCAAATCTCCGTTCTTGGTAGGCAATTATTATTATACCCCAATGTATATGTAATATAAGATCAATTTGAAATGCAGTCTAAAGTTTTGCTCGATCGATCCGAAGTACCAGCGTTCTGTCCTGTGACTTTAATTCACTGAATCATTGAATATAGGCCTACAAAATGATGCCCTAAATTGGCACTTTTGGGTCCAGCTCGGCTAAAGGCCTATCGTGTTTTTTTTATCAGTATAGTTTTGAATTTAAAATGATTTTTTTAATTGATTTATTTTTTATAAATATTGTTCGTTCTCATTTCAGTTTGATATAGCTATTTTAAGCTTTTAATACTATTGTGCATATAAATGTTTTCTCAGTTAATCAGCCACCAGTGATCACCTGCCCACCCAATCAGACGATTCAGACAGATCCAAAGCAAAACTTCGCAACAGTAACCTTACCCGAACCACCCTCTGCATCCGACAACAGCGGAAGTTTCGAAATCACCATTGACGCGGATGGTTTAACGTTTCGTGTAAATGACAGAATCAGGCTGGGTGCTGCGCAGTCTGTACACATATTGCAGTACACTGCGAAAGATGCCAGCAACAACATTGCCACATGCACCATGCAAATCACTGTCATAGGTAAGCAGTCATTTCCAATGTTTACACCCGAGCCTACTTTGACATGGAAAACCTTGTTTTGTTTTTTCCCTTTTGCTGCGAAATAGAAATTGTGCAAAATCAACAAAACTTGAGTAGTAGTTCCTTACAAGTGATGTTTCAAAACCAATTATTTTATGATATCGACAAATCCAGCCCTTTTTACTTTTTCCCCGCACAATTTTAAAAACAACTGGAAGTTTGAGGGTTTGTTTGCACGCCTTTTCGGGATATCACATTAAAACAAAGTTGAATATTAACTGAGTGAGAAATTGGTGCAAAAAGAAAATGTTGTCGCGCTGGACATACCAAACCGTGATAATTCATTGGCTACTAATTATAGTTAATACATGTATGTTTGTACCACTCTAGACAACGAGCCTCCTACGTTTGATGATTGCCCAGCTGACGTCACCATCCCTGTCGGCTCATCGTCCTATCAGGTACATCACAGGTGGATTCCTCCAATGGCCTCTGACAACTCTGGTCGTGAAGTGGAGGTGACGTTCAGTTGCTCAGGAGCCACAGCCGGTGACTGCGACCAAGCTGGCAACGGAACCTTTTCAGTTGGAGGTTCCACGATGACGTACAGAGCTGAAGATGCGTCTGGGAATGAGAATGTTTGCACGTTTACTGTGACGGTTACAGGTTAGTGTCCAATTCAAACTCTAATTTTAATATTTTGATCGGTTTGCTGTACAGATTTCATTCACTCCAATTATCTGTTTTTGTTCACTTTCATCAGCATGAGGCCTAAACTTGGGCCCTCTAAGATTCCAGCCGTCTATCCACGTGCATTCCTAAATAATAATAAAAGTTTCTTCCTCTATTTCACAAACAAGATAGCTCGATCTACAGGTAGTCATAACTATTTGGTCTTTTTGCTCAGTTGTGGAACTTGTCTGCCCAGCTAATGTCTCGGCATTAGCAAGTCCTGGCTCGACCAGTACCAGTGTGAGCTGGTCGGAACCGGATCTAACTCGATGGAACGGACCAACAAACTTCACCTCAAGCAACAATTCTGGTGTGGAATTGTTGATAGGAGCTCACCGCGTAGACTATCAGCAATGGGTTGCGGCATACAACCTGCACTTGGATTGTTCATTCTTTGTTGTGGTACAAGGTGAGATATGAGTATTTGAAGACTTGGCAAAGATAGTTCAAAGATTTTGTTTGGAACCCTTTTCAAGATATTACACCAAAACAAGTTTAACATTGACTTAGTGAGAGAAGAAACATTTTGTCGTGCTTTTACAACAGGTCAGTGCCCAACCAACACAACCAGTGACGGTCTGAGATGGCCTGTAGCAGTAGCTGGATCCACTGCCAAGTCTGTCCAACGATGTCCACTGACAACTGCAAATGGTTTGACTTCAGAATCTCTCACAGTCTTTGAAACTTTTTCCATGGTCCATAATGTTCCTTGTTCTGCCTGATGTATCCAATCTTTCTTGTAATCTTCGCGATCGTCTCTCCACCTCAATTCTTCCTCTTTTTCGTTCTCTGTTTCTTGGCCGCAAGTCTCACTTATAACGCATTTATTCGCACAGTTCAGTTTGTTCTGATAGAATGGTTTTGCCCATCTGAATTATTGCTTTTTGATCACTCAAAATGAAGCTGGTGAACCCGAAGCCGTCCGGAACTGTTCGAAGTTGGAGGCGCCTCTCTACTTCCGATGGGAGGAGCAAGAGATTCGTGGCTGCGGGGACAAGAAGGAAGTGTCTCTCGAAAATGTCGTCAAGGTAATTTGTTTTATCTCAGGACGTTAATTGATCCAAATGGTATGATGGCTCAATGTTCAAAAGGGCATTATATTGATGGCTCTTGTAGAGATGTCTTATTTTATGAATCATGCTGCATGTACGTAATTAGTTGAGCAAATTATCAAAAACTGCAGGCAGATGCGGTGTTTTAAGAAGCTTAGATATGAAGATGTGACCATGAACCATATTCGTTGACAGGTTGAGGTTAGCAAAGGCAATGCAGTCGAAGTGGCCGAGTTTCTTGCCAATCAGACGTCAGAGTAATCTAAGAAAACAGAAGATGTTACGGTTGTTGCCAGCATTTTGGAGAACATCGCAAAAGCAGGATCGGGGGACAAAGAGGTATGTTGATAACCATTCCGGAGAGGGGACTTAGCACATTGTTCCAAGATAAAAAAAAAAGAAGAGTGGGGTGGAACAGCGATATAGTAGAAATAAATGTAGTTAATTGTAATCATGATTTCTTGAAGGTGACAGAACTAGTGCTGGAGACTGTCAGCAATGTCATCATGAGTGTTGGGCCTGAAACTCCTGACTCTGAGCCCACTCAGATCGAGGCTGGTACCTCCTCAGCCATCATTCAGTCCGTAGAGACTCAAATCTCCCTGACACTTCAGCAAGAGGGTAAAGTCAGTATACGTCAGGACTCCATCCACGTGGAGGCGGTCAGTCTTGAGCCAAACCAGAACAGGAACGGACTCAGCTTCGTGTCCGTGAAACAGTCTAATGTGACGTCTCCTGGACAAGGGTCACAGCAAGAGGGCACCCTTGCCGGTACCGAGGTCGAGACTTTGTACTCTAGTATGATACCGAAGGATCTCGATGTCTTGGCATCGGCTCGGTTGCCTGGCAACATCACTAATTTGTTACCGTCCCCTGATGGTAAGTTCATCATTCATGTGTGATCAAAGATTATGCACAATAATCGATATTTGATAAGATAAGAAAGAGGGTAGGGCTATGCGGTGGTTGCTGAGGTCTACTATGCAAGCAGTGGTTCAAATTGTGCGTACGTTTGAGACGCACTGCTGTTCCTTGTCGAAAGTGGAATTATGATGGAAATGTTGGGATAACCTAAGCCTCCGGAAGTAGATTTGTATAGAATCTTAAACATCTTTTAAGGGATGACACTATGAAACGTTATTTGTTGATAAGATTTTCGGGGGAAGTGCAAACCAAATATGAGAAACGTACCTCTTTAAACTATTTCTTCACAATATAGCTCAGCTGCAAGCCAGTTTCCTGATTTACGCTGATGACACGTTGTTCCAGTCGGCTTCGATCAAAGAGCATCGAGGGGAGGGTAACTCGACTCGTAAGGTCGCTGGATCTGTCGTCTCACTGACTGTGGAGAATGTTGAACTTGTCAACCTCACAGAACCAGTCGTGATTGAATTCAAGGTGATCATGAGATAATTAATATTCAAGTTCATCCAGAGTAGAATACTTCACTGTTGCACGAGGGCCTATTCCTGCCAACTTAACATCAATGTCCAAGTTAATCAATTCAGATTGTACCCTCAATTTTGTGTAACCTTTTATCAATCTTCCGATTTCGATACTTAGGAGGAATCAAGCGAAGTCCACTGCGTGTCCTGGGACTTTGAGCTGGAAGATGGAGTCGGCGATTGGACGACAGATGGATGCGCGCTTGCTGAAGTGACCAATAAGACAGTCGTGTGTAATTGCTCTCATGCCACCAACTTCGCAATCCTAGTGGTATGTATAGTTCAATCTTGTGATTCCAAACTACTTCATACAGCTTTTTTTTCCCATTTAAGAATGTAACAATTGCAGCCTCAAGGTGACTAGACTCCCGCAGGTTGCACCAACATTAGATCATGGAGCACATCACAAAGCAAATGAGTACCCCTTTCAGTTCGAAGAAAGATCGACACTACTTTAAGCCATACGAAAAGGAAAGGTCCGTTCAGTCAGGAAAAGAAGGAAAGTTATCAGGAAAAATACAATACATTGTTCTATAAAATCTACATGATTTCCCCGTTTGTACCTTTTTGAAATGCCTACGTTCAATGCCAACAAAAACACTTCATCTTCACTCACTGAATGTTTCTCTACGTTTTTAATGGATTGGATTGGTAACTGGTATGAGGTTTCTTGCAGGATGTGAAGGGCCAAGCACCTGATGACAAAGATGACACTCCTGCTAAGCGAGCGCTTGATATCATCAGCCAGGTTGGCGCTGCACTGTCGATCATAGCTCTGGCCATCACGCTGATCATATACTTAGCTATCAGGTAAGATCATTGTAATGAAACGATCGGCAAAATTTAACACAACTATGTTTCCCCGTACGCTTATTACTCATACGTTCCATGTGTTGTCTTGTCGCTGTAAGGCAGTGTGAAAATAAAGAATATATATATAAACATCCTAACCTTTTTTTGTAGGAAACTGCGAAGCGGAAAATCTCGTCAGATCTTCATCAATTTCTGCTTCTCGTTGTTCATGTTGTACATCGTGTTCGTTGCCGGCGTCGACAATGCTAAGGTGAGCAATGTTACATAACGCAGGAAACGTTTAAGTTTAATTGAAGGGGCGATAGATATGTGGAGCCACCAAGAGGTCAAAAGTGGCCAGGACCGGTCGGTAAAAGCACTTTCCATATCTTGAAAAGCATTGATTGTAACGTCTTTTGTGAATTGCATCTTGCTTTGAAATTATAACAGTTATATCTACATGTACTTCAATTTAAAGGGTTCCGGAGGTGGTTGTGTGTTTGTGGCTGCTTTACTCCACTACTTGACTCTGTCCACCATGATGTGGATGGCTGTTGAAGCCAGGAACATGTACGTCAGTACGGTGAAGGTGTTCCCAGAAGACACGCCTCACTACATGCTCAAGGCTTGCCTCATCGCTTGGGGTGAGTCCATGTCTAAACTCAAACATTATTTTTAAATAGATACCAAGCAAAATCATTGTTATCTTTAGTTGAATCAAGATTGGAATCAAGTTGAATCAAGAATAAGATTTCAATCTCCTTTTTTAGGTTCTCCATTGATTGTGTTGATTATCACCTTGGCTGCAGCATCACATCACTATGCCAACGAGCATTAGTAAGTGAATGACCATGTTAGCTTTTAATCTGAGGGCGCTGTTTGGATTCCCCAATGACTGACACTCTCTCTACCTAATTATTATTCAAATAGAGTAGTTCTCGGAACGTCGGCTTTGTCCCAAGCGTCTGCTTACTTCACTGTATGCAGGGAATTTAAGAACCTTCTACAATCTAAACTACTCCAAATTTTATTCTCTTACGAATATGATTTTGTACTCCTGCAGCAGACCTTGGATCCATAATGAGCCGAATTATCCAGAGTCAGAGGTCTACAATCTCTTAACACAAGCCGAAACTGGAAACAAAGACAACGTTTCGAAAATGTCCAAAGACTTATACAGATGCGACTGTGATACATATGCA